GAAGAAAGCCTTGCATGGAAGTATGTGTCTTTCATTTTAAAGCCTGACTCCGTTTGGCATTTGAAAGCATAACATGACAATTGGTTATTGTTTTTCCAGTTTTCCTACTAGCAAAAACATATGTTACATGAATTTATCAAAGAATTTTGAAGTCTTAAGACTTGCTTCGAATTTTGCATCTGTTTCATGAACTCACGATAGGCTCATTTTTGAACAATAACAATTAATTATAAATATTAACCAAAATTCTCTAAAATGACTAGTGGGTATGGGAGCCTAACTTGGGCCACTATAAAGAGATCAGGTTTTTTAGAAAGTGATGAACATCCATCCATTGAAAATTAGGGCTATTGAAATTTTCTCTAGTTTTGCTTCCATAATCAACAGGAACTTGAAAGCCTTAAGTCGTTGTATCCAGCTCTACTTAGGAACTAGAATAAAGTGTATAGGCAAGCACCGCAGTTCATAATGCAATTCACTCATTCTTTTAAACATAAACCGAAACAGTAAAGCCAATTCAAGAATCTGGGCAGAAATATTTTCTGCCATGAAACAATTTTGGTGAAGTTCAGTTGCAGGCAGGGGCGGATATAGGGCAGGGCGAACAGGGCAGCCGCCCCGGGCCCCGCACTTCAGAAAGCCCCGCGCATGCGCCGTGGCGCCGCTGCGCATGCGCATGGCGTCACAGCGCATGCACCGTGGCAAAGGGGGGGCCCCGTGGAATTATGCTGCCCGGGGCCCCGCAAAACGGTCATCTGCCCCTGGTTGCAGGACACCTTTTTATAGATCACTTCTGCATGCAATCAGTGGGCAGGAATTAATGCTGTCAAGGAGAATCACTAAGATTATATATAAGTGAATATACATATGCACGCACCAGATTAATGTTCTGAACTTGGAAGGAAATATGGAACTAATGAAAACTTGAAACCATAAGCAATGAGGAGTCCTGTGGCACCTTAGGGTATATCTGCACTTGCACCCTCTTTCAAGAGAGGGATACAAATGAACAGGGCTCACCGAACCGCGGCAAGTCCCGCTCACCAGCCGCACTGTCCTGCGATCATGCGCAGATCGCCCGAACCTGGCTCTTCCGGGTTACAATCTACTCACCACGGGCAAGTAGATTGCATTATTTGTCGAGCTCTGCAAATGAAGACATTCGAAATTGCAAATGAAGCCAGGATTTAAATATCCTGTGCTTCATTTGCATATTTACATTATGGCACTATTTCAAAATAGTGCTATTTCAAAATAACAGATGCTGTTAAGACGCGGTTATTTCGAGAGAAAACCCTTCTCTCAAAATAACCCTTATTCCACATACAATGAGGTTTACCAGATACTGCGTCCTAACAGCGTCTGTTATTTTGAAATAGCGCCATAACACGAATATGCAAATGAAGCGCAGGATATTTAAATCTCAGCTTCATTTACAATTTCAAATGTCTTCATTTGCATCCTTCTCTCGAAAGAGGGTACAAGTGTAGCCATACTCTTATAGACTAACAAATTTATTGGAGCATAAGCTTTCCTGAGCAAAGACCCACTTTGTCTGATGAAGTGGGTCTTTACCCACGAAAGCTTATGCTCCAATAAATCTGTTAGTCTATAAGGTGCCACAGGACTCCTCATCGTTTTTGCGATTCAGACTAACACGGCTACCCCGCTGATACTTGAAACCATAGTCAGGGGCGGATATAGGGCAGGGCGAACGGGGCAGCCGCCCCGAGCCCCGCGCTTCAGAAAGCCCCGCGCATGCGCCGCGGCACTGCTGCTCATGCGCATGGCGTCACTGCGCATGTGCCGTGGCAAAGGGGGGGCCCCGCGGAATTATGCTGCCCAGGGCCCCGCAAAACAGTCATCTGCCCCTGACCATAGTAATATAAAATAATAAATGCATTTATTTTTAGTTGTAACCATTGTGTTTACTTTCCCTTTTCATATCTCCCTTTCCATCATATTTAAAATGTATTATTTCTTTATTGCAGTTAAAACAGGAAAAGTAATATCTACAGAGTTTTTTGACATGTGGGAAGGAGGTAAGAGCCAAAGTATTATGAAATAGAAGTGGCACAGGGTCTCTTGTAGACACTTTTCCATGCAGAAGAAGTTTGGATAGAAAATATTTTTATTTAAATATTTGACAGTTGCTAAAGTCCTCCAGTAATTAATATAAAACAGATGGTAAAACAGATTTAACTCTGCTCATCAGTAGTACTTCACAGCTTAATACTAAAGAAAAAACTGAATTGTGTCAGTGGGAGTTGAGGGCACTCTTTTTTTTTTAGGATTGGGCCCTCTGAATGGGAAAGGGGGAATTAACTGGCTAGAGAAAAATGAGAAATTTACTTCTGTTTTTTTGGAGAAGGAAAGCTTAAAAGTAGCAATAAGCTGAGAGTAAGGTGTTTTTGTGCATTGGTATGCAGGTAATTGAAGAATCATTTGTTTTATCAATAGAATTCTCTGGACCCATGACTACTTTCATTAAAAATGCACCTCAAGGGTCACTCCTTTTGATGGTGACCCATGATGATGGAAGCAGCAGGTAAGCGAGTGCATTCTAGAATAATAAATGGCTTGCAACTCAGACTGGCAACCTTCTGAGAAGCAAAAGTTGTTACAATTTGAGTGATGATCAGGTTTAATCACTTACCATCTCCTGTGATATTTGATGTTGTCCCATTCAACACTTACTCATATAACACATATTGAACTTCTCAAAGACGCTCCAATTACACTAAATTTGTTCAAACAATTAAATGTACAAAAGAGAATCCTTCCCAACATAGAACTCTCCTCTCTGCTCCACGTGTGCAAACTCATGGTTTTTTATTGACATCAGTGGAGTTGCACAGGTGAAGTGAGGATAGAATTTGTTTCTGTGAATTGTATGGCACATTACTGGACAGTTCTTCAGTAGAAGATACAAGAAGGCTTTAATTATTCATTAATAGGAAATCAGAACACCCAACACAAAATATCAACAGACTATTTCCTTTCTTACCTAACTTATTTTTAAAGTTCTAAATTTCAGAAGTTTTCAATGTTTAATTTTTCAACTCTTCTAGATTAAAGGATGATGCGAAAAAAGCAATAGCAGAACTTGGGAGTAAAGAAATATGGAACATAAAGTTCAGGTCAAGCTGGGTCTTTATAGCTGCCAAAGGTTTCAAGCTACCAGATTATATTCAAAGAGAAAGGGTAAGGGTTATTTTGTTGTTGTCGGTTTTGTTTTTTAAAACTATAAATTTGAGAAACCCTTCAGAACCTTGTGTTGTGGCTTCTTTTCTGGAAACCAATTTCCAAAAGTGACTAGCAATTTAGGGTGTTTCAGACTTCCTTAAAGGTGTCTCAGAAATTGAGTTTTCAAAAATTGAATTTCAGAAGGTAGATGCTCAGCATTTTCTGAAGATCAGGACCCTGTATGAGTCTCAGAATTGACACCCAGGAAGAGATGCCCAAAACTATGTCATTTTTAAAAAATATTAGCCTCCTCACATTTGAGGAAAATTTAGCAGTAATCCTTTTTGAATCTGAACTTCTTCCCATGCCAGTGATATTTTAATTTATATGCTCCATACCTTAATTTATATGATGTAGAGAGGGGAGGAAAAATTAGTATTCTAGACCCAGCTCAGTTTCCACAGATTTCTCAAACTATTCTGAAGATATAGAGAACTATCCCTAGTTTCACGTCTTTTCCAGAACATGGTTGGGTGTTACTTACTGAAACAGATTCCCTATAAGAGGTACCTCAGCATTATTGTCTATGAGGTGCTCCAGGCATTAAGGAGTTTGGGTGATATGATTTTGAGGAATGATTATATAACAGAATGGAGTGAGGACATGCCAGTTTATGATAAACAAAATGCCCAGTGCATCTGACAGTTTCCAAGTGCTGGTATCCACGTATCTTTTCTCTCTTGCTACAAACAGCGAAATTAAGTTTTCCAGACTACTGACAACAGTCTATATGTGATAAACTGAACATTTGTTTGCTTTTTTTTTTTTAACCAGATCAATCATTCTGACAATAGCAAGAACAGATATAATGGCTGGCCAGCTGAAATCCAGATAGAAGGTTGTATCCCAACTAACCTGATCTGATCTTACATTTTGCTACTAAAGTTGTGTACATTATTTTTATATATGGATGAGTCATAAAACCGATACACATTTAAATAACTGCTGTAAACTAATAAAGTCATGTGTACTATTTTAACCAGTTATCCTTCAGTGGTTATATTATACAACTGGTGGGAAAGCAAATGGGTGTTTCAATGGTAGATGCAGATAAATTCATCCATTTTCTGGTCTATAATGATGATGCATAATAGATATGCCAGGATTATAAAAATGGGACCATACTGTCACTATAAATGACAAGTCTTAATTTTTATAGGTTGCTTTCTGCTGTAAGTTTTACGAGGAAACAAGATAGAAAACCAAATTATATTTCTCCTGTCTCAATCCCTAGTAGTTGAAACAATTACTCTGCTGCAGTGTATTAATAATTCTTTTTCTCCTAAGAAAAGTTTGAATTGCCATTACTCTTAATGTACTTGTGTACTGATAATTAACCAATTTTAGCAATCACCAGAGGGTCACTTACAAGAATTCTGTGCAAATGATCTACACCCTTACATTTCAGTTTGCTCCTCCTCTCCCCACCATTAGTTTATTTTGCACATTGTTTCACAAACTTCTTACAGAATTTATAGAACTCATAAGAAAGATGCCTAGCTTCACTGTTGCATTTGTTGCTTCTCTTCTATTTCCTTTGTTTGGTTATCTGTTTAGAATGTAAGCACCTCAGGTCAGGAATGTAATAATAATATTTGTCTGTAAACCACCTAAGAAACTGTTGGCATTATAGATACTGTAGTAAATCCAAATCAAATCCAACATAGCACCTGCTGAATTTGGCCTCACTCCTATTGTAATAGGTTCCCTATTGGGTACCGCTGTGTTCCTGACCTATCAGCCTGGGCTCCCTCTTGCTAGGGATGTCAATGTATAGTTGAGCAGATGATTAACTGATAAGCCTAGGCTTATTGGTTAATCTTATTGACTACACACACTCCACCCCTCCTTGCTGCCTATGATAGAGAGGCAGCAGGAGGGGAAAGTGAGAGCCGGTGGTTCAGAGCCACCTGCCCTGCCCCCCTAACCCCAGCATTGCGGCTTCATGTGAGCCGCTTCTCTCCCCCTCCCTCCACACTGCTGCCTCTCTATCAGAGGAACTGGGGTGGGGAGAGAGGCAGGAGCTGATATATGTAGGAACCAGCTCTTAAGATGGCTTTCCTCACATACTGGCTCCACAGATCTGTCTGCTGCTCCTCTCCTCCCCTCTCCCCTCTCCCTCCTCCCCCCCACTCACACTGCTGCCTCTGTTAGAGGTAGCAGGGGGGAGGGCAGGAGAGGCTGCAACAGAACAGCTTCTGTCCATGGTGGGCTCAAGCTCACTGCAGACAGAGGCTGCTCTGTGGGATGCTGGCACAGCTCTTGTCCACGGGGAGCTCAGACCCCACAGAGACAGGGGCTGGTGCCACCCCCATGCTGCTGCCTTCTGGCCCCATCCCTGAGGACCATTGAATAGTCATGTAACCATGTAATATTTTGTGCAGTTACATGACTATTCAGTTAATCACTTTCTAACATCCCTACCTCTTACACTGGGACTGCTGTTTCAAGCTGCAAAGCCTTCAGCAGGTTGCTGCCTTCACTTTCACCAGCATATGTATGGCTAGCGACACACCCAGCTCCTGTTACATGCAAACTCTTTGACAAGCCCCCCCTTGGGAAGGCTCCAGCAAAGGCAACAACCATCTTCTCAGGCTCACACTCTCAGGAGTATAAACCCATCTTGCACTGTATAGAGAACAGTCCAGCGTAAGCTCACTAACTTCATCCCCTTCCTCAATGTGAAGAGGAATATGCAACAGCCTTTTGCACGCAAGTTGTGGTTCGTGCACACTGGTTTAGATAAAGCAAAAATAAGATTATTAAAAGCTGCATTTTAAGTGATCATATAAGGAATAACAAACATCAAAACAGATTACCTAGCTAGCCATATGAATAGGTTGTTGCCTGCTGCAAAGCCACACAGAGCAGCAGAAGAGGGCATTGGAGGGATTTGTTGCAGAAAGTTTTGTATCACCAAAGACAACCAGGAGCATCTAGTACTCACTGTTGGACGGGAACTTTACCCAGAACTGCTGAACTTAGTGTACAAATGCATTCCTCAGTGCCTCCTCTTTCAGACTGCTGTACCACCAGGGCTAAGGAGCCTTGTGTTCAATGTAACTCTGATTTACCTCCCCCTCCCCCATCTTTCCCTTTGTAAATAAATATTTTCTCTTCCTATATTTGCTGTCCTCTTCCAGTGTATGTGTATTCATTCTGGGCGCATTGGAACAGATGCTCCAAGGTGGAAGGGACTTTCCCAGCTGCATTTGTGCATGTGCCGTTTCCTGTCCAGAACTGCCTTCGGAGTGGACTGCATCTTGGCCACAACGGCACTAAAGTTACACAGCACAGATGTTTGAGCCTGGGTCTGGGACCATGAGAGGCAGGAGGCTCCCTGAACCCAAATATTTTCACAGCAATGGAAAAGCCCCTTAGCCTGGGTCAACTGACAAAAGCCAGCTATGTGTGTTTAGTTGCAGTATAAACATACCCTTAGCAGTGGGCATGTCTTCATCGCTACTGGTTCTTAAGCACCCTGGATGATGTACCAAGCGAGTAAGAAGTCCACCAACCTGTTTTTGTCTTTAATGTGAGCTTGTGAAGGACGCTGTTTTGTGAAGTTATGAAGATACAGTAGCAACTGCCAATGTTCTGGGGGAGATTTGGAGAGCACGTAATGTACAATGCTTTATGGTGCTGTGCAAGTGCAAAGCAGGCAGAAAGCCAAAGTAGCCAGCTACCTGCAATAGCTCTATGCCAGCCTATTTGGGTATGGCTACACTAGCCACCCTAGTTCGAACTAGGGTGGCTAATGTAGTCATTCGAACTTGCAAATGAAGCCTGGGATTTAAATATCCCGGGCTTCATTTGCATGTTCCCGGGTGCCGCTATTTTTAAATGCCCAGTAGCTCGAACTACCTGCCCGCAGCACGGGCTAGGTCTGTGGTCCCCAACACGGTGCCCGCGGGCGCCATGGAGCCCGCGGGGGCATTTGTGTGCGCTCACCAAGTGCTTGGGGCTGGCCTGGCCTCGGGCGTGCAGCACTTGGGGGGGAGTATGTGGCGCTTGGGGGGAGGTGCCGGCCCCGGGCGCGCAATGCTTGGGGAGGGAGGCGCCCGCGGGGGCATTTGTGTGCGCTCACCAAGTGCTCGGGGCTGGCCTGGCCTTGGCCACGTGGCACTTGGGGGGTAGCGCCGGCCCCGGGCGTGCGGCGCTTGGAGGGGGCTCCAGGCATGTGGCGCATAAATTTAAATGGCTGCTGCGCTGAGCCGACAAACAGCCGATCAGCTGTTTGTCAGCTCAGCCCGCTAGTTTGGATGCTCTGCAGTCGACATCAAAGGCATTTGTTGACCGCCCCATTATGCCTCGTGGGATGAGGTTTACCAGGGCGGTAGACAAATGCCTTGGCAGCCATTTAAATTTAAATGAAGCCGCAATTATTTAAATCGCGGCTTCATTTCCCTTTGCCCATCAGTCTAATCTACATGGCACCATTGATGGAGCCATGTAGTTTAGACACACCCTAGTAGTGTTCATGTAGCATACGCTACGTCTACATTGGCATGATCTTGCGCAAATACTCTTTAATGCAAGAGTCCTTGCGTTAAAGTATTTGCATAAGAGAGCATCTACACTGGCATGTGCCTTTGTGCAAGAGATGTGCTTTTGCGCAAGGGCATCTGTGCCAATGTAGACACACTCTTGCGCAAGAAAGCTCCAGTGACTATTTTAACCATCAGGCTTTCTTGCACAAGAAATTGATATTACCTGTCTACACTGGCCTCTTGCGCAAGAACAGTTGTGCAAGAGGGCTTATTCCTGAGCGGGAGCATCATAGTTCTTGTGCAAGAAGCACTGATTTCACACATTAGAACCTCAGTGTTCTTGCGCAAGAACACACAGCCAGTGTAGACAGGCAGCATGTTTTTGCACAAAAGCGCCCACTTTTGCGCAAAATCGTGCCAATGTAGACACAGCCATACTGTTTTACAAATGTTTACAAAGCTGTAATAAAAAATGTAGTGTGCCATTTGAGTGGCTTGTCCTTATATAATTTGTCTGGTAAAAAGATCATCAGGCCCACTAGATCAGTGGTTCTGAACCACTTACGTGTACCCTGGGGGTACATAGAGGTCTTCCACGGGGTACATCAACTCATCTATTTGCTTCACTCCACAACAAGCTACAAGAAAAACACTAGCGAAGTCTGTGCAAACTAAAATTTAATATAATGCCATGTTTATTCTGTGCTATATACTATACATAGAACTATAAGTATAGGTTGAACCTCTGTAGTCCGGGACTCTGGTCCAGCAACGTGCATGGTAGGACCATGGATGTTGTGGGACTAGAGAGCCCCAGCACAGAGGTTGCTGGGGGTTGGGAGCAGAGCCAGCCAGCAGGGGGCAGCAACACCCACGGGGCATCAAAGTACACAGCCAGTTGGACTGGGAAGCTGGCAGGGGCGCCAGAGTCCATGGGGGGTGGAGGGCAGCAGAGCTAGCAATGGGCCAGGAAGCCAGCAGGGCTGCTGGAGTCCACAGGGCAGAGGAGGCTTTAGTCTCCGCAGCTGGTATGGCTGCAAGTGTCCACAGGGCAGCCACCAGAGCTCCTGGGGCTGCTGGGCTTCACAGGGCAGGCAGGGCTGCCATAAGTAGGAGGCTGAGGGCAGTGGTAGCAGGTAGCTGGGGAGAGGAGCCCAGTGGAGGGACTGCCCCTCCCTTCAGACCTTCCCTGGTCCGGAAAACACTCCAGGCAGCCAGACCAGGAGGTCCAATCTGTACAATATTTATATTCCAGTTGACTTACTCTCATTGTTAGCATATAATTATAAAATAATTAATTTTTCAGTAATAGGGGGCTTGAGACACTTATGTCTGATTTTGGAACCAATAGGGTTTTTTTTAAGTGAAGTGAAACTTGGGGCTATGCAAGATACATCAGACATTTGGAAGGGGCATGGTAATAAGGAAAAGTTTGAGAGCATCTGCTGTAGATCTATGGCTTATACTACATCTACCAGAGTTATACCAGACATGAACTTCTTTCTAAGGGTATGTCTACACTACCACCCTAGTTCGAACTAGGGTGGTAATGTAGGCAACCAGAGCCCGAGGAGTAAAACGAGGAGTAACGGTAGTTACTAGGAAGCCTAGTCCGAACTACCTAGTCCGTGCCGCGTGGAGGCACGCGGCACGGAGTCCGCAATAGCAGACATTTAAAAATGGCGGCGCCCGGCTTTATGCAAATGAAGCCCGGGAAATTCAAATCCCGGGCTTCATTTGCAACTCCGGTTGCCTACATTACCACCCTAGTTCAAACTAGGGTGGTAGTGTAGACACCTCACTAGTAGATGTAGTGGGCCTGATAGTAGCTGATACAAATCAGCATAGCTCCACTGATTTCAGAGAAGCACTACCAATTTACACTAGGGGGCTGTGTCTACACTGGCATGATTTTGCACAAATACTTTTAACGGAAAATATTTTCCATTAAAAGTATTTGTGCAAGAGAGCGTCTATACTGGCGTGTGCCTTTACAAAAAGATGTGCTTTTGCGCAAAAGCATCCGTACCAGTGTAGATGCTCTCTTGCACAAGAAAGCTCTGATGGCCATTTTAGCCATCGGGCTTTCTTGTGCAAGAAAGTGATGTTACCTGTCGACACTGGCCTCTTGCACAAGAACACTTGCGCAAGTGGACTTATCCCTGAGCGGGAGCGGGAGAGTATTTGCACAAGAAGTACTGATTTCATACAGTAGAACATCAGTGTTCTTGCGCAAATACTCGCGGCAAGATTTTGCGCAAAAGTGGCCGCTTTTGCGCAAAATCTTGCCAATGTAGACACAGCCAGGGAGTATCAGCTCTTCATGTGTGATATCTGTACTGCAGAAGCACCCCCAACCTGCCTTCGCTACATTGCCCATAAAACTGTAGAACAGGGTTTTCCAACCTATGGGTTGGGACCCAAATATGGGTCGCCATTACATTTCAAAAGGGTCGCTAAGTGTTTCCCCAGATGGCTCTGCCCTCCCTCCTCCCCCCCCCCCCCCCTTTTGTTTTTTGAATTGCCTTGGGTCGCTAAGTCTCCCTGAATTGTCAAAATAGGTCCCATCTGGAAAAGGTTGGGAACCGCTGCTGTAGAAGCAGCATCCTGACCACAGCTCCTGGGTTCTCGTGTGGCTACAAATAAAAGCATTTAACATTCAGGTAAATCATTTTATGAGGAATTCCTCTCGGGCTATGTCTAGACTACAGGGTTTTTCCTCAGGTATCCTGGAAAAACTCTAACACATCCAGGGAACGCATCTGCTCTTCCGCTTTTTTGGCAGAAGAGCGGATGTGCTCTTTTGGAAGCTCTGTCTTCCTCCTGCCACGAGGATGAAGGGCTCTTTTGAAAGGTTTTTTTTCCCAAAATTTGGCCCAGTGTAGACAGGCCAAATTTCGGAAAAGCATCTTCCAAAAAAAAAATCTGCATACCTTTTTCCGATACAGCCCCGTAGTGGAGACATAACCTCAGTTGGATTTTGATGTTTCCCTGGAGCAAGGTACACTGTTTTAAGAAGCATTATCTCCAGGGTCCTGCAGCACACCGGAATGAAATGCCTCAGTTGTCCTCACTTTAAAGTAAAAATCATGACTTGCTGGTCCTGCTTCCCCATCTGTCACACGAACCAGTGACTTAAGTAGATCATGGCTCATTTTTTACCATATAAGTAGAATTTAGCATCTGTCTTTGCAGCTTATCCCCTTTCCTAGTACCACAGTGTAGAAAGAGATGGCAAAAAGGACCCATTAAAAATACTGAATCTGCGATTTCTGATTTAACTGTGGCCTGTAAGAGAATTAAATGCATTTCACTATCTTCATATGGCTATTAATACTGTTTTATTCTTATGTATCCTATTACAGGACAGTCTGCTGGAGAGAGATCAGAATAACTAATTAGATATTGGTGGTAGGTGAAACAATATTAACAGTAATGAATAACCAAATCTTTGGGTCATGAATTTAAACTCCCATATTTCATGCTGCTAAGCTCACAGTAGAAAGCAGCCCCGGTGGTTTGTTTCATTTCTCCAGAATGATGCCACTGAAGCAGGGTGGGGCTAGTAAGCATGGTATATATAACCAAAAGCATCAGAATATTAGCAGTTTCCTCTCAGCCCAGCACTTGGAACAGGTAAGAATCTTTCGCCTTTGTTCTTTCTCAATTAATCCCTTAGTACTGTGCCGATAGCAGTGATTGTTCTATTGCAAGAGAGAAGGATTACTTTATTGGTAGTCAAATGTGAGTAGCAATAAGAGCTGCTACCAGAGAGCCAGAAACAAGAGTGACGTAATGATACAAAAGCTTTCTCTCACTAGACAAAAACAGAGTGTTGTAAAATCTCTGCTAGTAGCATAAACTTACAGAGGGAATGTAGTTTCTGTTTAAGAGGATGTTTGAAGGACGGGTCACAGATTATTGTTAATTAGAGGTATATTTAAAAAATAGGAGATTCTAGTCTATGGATGGAGTTGCTATGCAATGTTTTACACAGCCTTAGAGCAACCTAGCAGTTAGAGAGAGAGTGCATCAGACTGTAAGGTAAATATAGCACAATTAAACTGAATTAGCTTTAGTTTTGTTTTCAGCTACAGTCTCTCAGGGATCCAGGGAACTCTCTGGATGCTTCTGAAAGCTCAGATAAACAGAGGTGAGAAAACATTACTGTGATTGCCAGGAATTGCTCTCCCCTCTTAGAAGGGTAGTATATCTCACCCAGCCCATGAGCGCTCTGCAATGTGAATGATTTGCTGACATGGTGAGCCATCACTCTACCTGGTAAGTTTCGTTTCTGCTCTTTGCTGCCTGGGAAGCTGGAGAGAGCTGGTGATGCGGATGCTGCTGTTGCTAGGAAGGAGACACACAGCTGAGTTCGGGGGAGTTAAACCCCATTTCCATCAGCATGTAGCCACCCCAGAAAATTGTGATTGGATTGGAGGCACCAGATTTCTGACAGTTTCTGAAAAAAGATGGAAGATAAAGAGGAGACTTTTTATTTTCTACCACAATTCTCTTTGTCCCACCCCTCACTCCTAAAATAAACTGCAGGGTTGTGAATGTCAATAAGTGCCCATTTAGGGGATATGCAAAAGCCAATCTGTAGCCATTTGGCAGCAGCACAGTACCCACAGCATAGGAGTCTGAAACAAGAGTTTGAATAAATGGTTACCTGCAGAGGTTGAGTCATTGGAATAATATAACCTTTTCTGTTTTGTTTTAAATACTATGCTGTTTACTAGTAGCCTACTGATACAGGGTGAAAGATAATGACAGGTCCTTAAGTATAAAGATAATGTTCTTGGGAACCAAAAATTTGGGCTATAATAGCATTCAGTGGTTAGTTTAGTTTCCCGAAGTTCTGAGAAAAGGATGGAGATAAGTAAACCACAGTCAGTAGTTTTGAAATACTCCTAGCATGTGGATTGGTAAAGCTCCTCTTTCTCTTGAAGTAATTACTTATGTCAGCAGATATTACTGAATGAGAACCCAAGTGACCTATCCAACAGAAAATTGGATTATAGGCAGCACAGAAGCCCCTGCAAACAATTCTGAAAATCTAGGTGAAATTAGTAGGTAACCTGATGCATATTAAGGATATTTTTTCATAGAATCCTAGAGCTGGAAGGGACCTCAGAAGGTCATTGAGTCCAGCCCCCTGTGCAAAGCAGGACTAACCCCAACTAAATCAACCCAGTCATGGCTTTGGCAAGCTGGGACTTTAAAACCTCTAGGGATGGAGATTCCTACTTCCCTAGGTAACCCATTCCAGTGCTGCACCACACTCCTAGTGAAATATTTTCCTAATATCCAACCTAGACCTTCCCCTGGCCTCCCGCCCCCGTAACTTGAGATCATTGCTTCTCATTCTGCCATTCATCACTACTGAAAACAGTCTTTTTCCATCCTCTTTGAAACCCAGAGGCATAGCAAGGGGGGTATGAGAGGGGCAGTTGCCCCCAGGTGCCATGCCAGGTGTCGATCCAGGAACCGGAGGTGCCGCCTCTGGTAGTCCTCCTGGTTCCTGGCTGTCCTGCTTGCCCGGGCGCGGGCGGCTGCTGCAGGCGGTGGGGTGCGCCCTGCAGGCCCAGGTGCTGCGGCTGTGGTGCAAGAAGACCAGCGGTCAATTACCCCAGGGGCCCAGGTGTGTGAAACCCAGCTCCCCTCTGCAAGGCCAGGGCCCCTGCAGGATCCCCAGCTGCTGCTCCGTGGTGGGCAAGGCCCAGGCGCACGGTCCCGGGGCTCCCTCTCGCCCCAGCCCCCCGTACACATAAGGGGAACACGAGGGTACTCACAGGTGGACGCCTCCCCGGCCTCTGATGATGCAGGCGAGCGGCTCTGTGGGGTGCCTCGGGGGTCCCGGGTCCTGGGAAGGCTGGCGGCAGGCTCCTGGCTCTCAGAGCCCTCTTCCTCCTCCTCGGTGTCCAGGAGCGGTCCCTCTGCCCCGGGGTCAATCACGTCCCGGGGGGCAGGGACGGCATGAGGCCCCAGGATGCGGTCCAGGGCATGGAAGTGGGGGCAGGCCTCCGGGTCAGCCCCTGGCAGGCAGGCCCGGGAGTAGGACTGCCGCAAGTCCTTAATTTTGCAGCG